AACTGTGACAACGACATTGGGTCAGAGACTTTCACTAAGGACGAGATTGTAAAGATTGTAGCCGAAAATCAAAAAGACGACATTGAAAGTGACAACAACGAAAAAGAAAACATGCCGCCCAACGCACCAACACCAGCAGTTCCAGTGACCGAGGCAATCGACGGAATGCAACTTTTTATTGACTAGTACGAAGGTCAAGAGGACATTGATGCAGTGAAACTGATGCAGTTACGACAAATGCTTTCATTCGCAAAATCAAAAAAACAGAAAGTGAAACAACAGCGCCTGGATCATTTCTTTGGGTAACATTTACGAACATTTTGCACAGACTGAAACTGAAACAATATTGAAACTGAAACAAAAGTCGACTCTCACATTTTCTTCGTGGACACGTATTATTTATTTATTTATTTATTTTACTAACGTAATAATTAACAAAAATTTTCCTTAACAACGATTTTTTATTAATATTTACAATGTAGAATTGTAATACACGTTTATTAATTAAATGTAATGTACATGTATCAATAAAACATGAAATCAATGTACACTCTATTGTCCTTCATTTTATGTTAATTTTACGTTCGGATCGTTTATCCGAACGATCAATTAACTGAACAAATACGTCACCGCCCACTGTGTTCGGATAATCGAGGTTTGACTGTACATCCGTTTGTCCGGACCCTGTCCTGCATCATCCTCTTGACACATGATTAATTAATGACTTTTGATTTTGCAGGGTTTGATTCATGAATTGCGCATCACAAACCAAGTCATGTATCTGAATCCACCAATAGAAGAGACAAGATACCAATTAATGCAGCAGTTATTTGCATGGGAAGCTATTATTTGCAATCAGAAACGTATTCAGAGTCAAAGATACCAGGTAAGACAATTTGTTAAGAGATGTCACAAATGGAAAGCAGTGGTACATAAATAACATGAATTGTCTACTTAGACTGCAATCATACATAAATAACATGAATTGTCTACTTAGACTGCAATCATACATAAATAACATGAATTGTATACTTAGACTGCAATCATACATAAATAATCATGAATTGTCTACTTAGACTGCAATCATTAATAACATGAATTGTCTACTTAGACTGCAATCATAAATAACATGAATTGTCTACGTAAACTACAATCATACATAAATAACATGAATTGTGTTTTTCTAGGTTGGTTTGGATCACCATGAATCGGAGACTGAGGTTACGTATCGTAGTTTGTTAACTCAACTACCTGATGGTCCTGATGCTCTTGACAATGCTTACATAGCAATAGATGAAACCATTAATAAGGTCAACGAATACATCAAGGTAAGAACTATGTATACAAAATACTATAGATACCATAGCAGTTTGTGACCTTAAAAAGCAGTTTGTGACCTTAAAAAGCAGTTTGTGACCTTAAAAAGCAGTTTGTGACCTTAAAAAGCAGGCCCCTGGGAATAGTCAGAAAAATGTTTTTTCTCAATTCTATGTAATTATAAAATTATGTACTATGTGTGGCCACACTTTGGCAGAAGTTGGGTTGAGGTGTGTTATAATGTGGGTATTCATGAATCAGTAGATCGGGTGGTTATAATGTGGGTATTCATGAATCAGTAGATCGGGTGGTTATAATGTGGGTATTCATGAATCAGTAGATCGGGTGGTTATAATGTGGGTATTCATGAATCAGTAGATCGGGTGGTTATAATGTGGGTATTCATGAATCAGTAGATCGGGTGGTTATAATGTGGGTATTCATGAATCAGTAGATCGGGTGGTTATAATGTGGGTATTCATGAATCAGTAGATCGGGTGGTTATTTATCTTGTAATATCTACAAAGAAATATAACTTCAACTTGTGATTGTGAATTTGGTTGTTACTGTTTTACTCTAGGTATGGTTACAATATCAGTCATTATGGGATATGCAACCACATAATATATATGGAAGACTAGGTGAAGATCTCAACAACTGGATGCAACTATTGATGGAAATACGGTATGTATCTTCACATTATTTGACTATTTATGTTCCATCGTGACTTCACTTTCAAGCTTGTCTATGATGTGTTTTAATATTTTCTCAACTAGACTATTTTGTAGCTGTGGATTGTGTATTTACATGTGGACTGTAATGACTTCCAGAAATGTGTATTATTGTAGTATTACAGTATTTTTTTTTTTTTTTATAGACAAGCTCGTACAACTTTTGATACCTCTGAGACGAGAAAAGAATTTGGTCCAATCATTGTTGATTATGCTAAAGTACAGTCAAAGGTCAATTTGAAGTACGACTCCTGGCATAAGGAAATCCTTAGTAAATTTGGTACTAATCTTGGGAATGAAATGACTTCATTCCATTCAGGAATATCGAAGGTATCCATAGATTTGATAGATTCCAGTGTGTGACATGTCATTGTCAGTTATTCTTGTGTTTGTCTGATTGTAGCATTCCAATGTGGCTTGTATAATTGAAAGTTGTAATCCAGTTCTCTAAAAACAGTACTGTACACATTTATCAAAAAAAATTCAAATATTTGATAGTGATTGGCTCATAAGCTCAATATCATCTATGCTCGTAAAGTGCCTTCCTGTTTTCACCCTTCACTGTATCAGGTGATAGCATAAATTGACTTTTTAGCTCCGCTGTCGACTTTGTCGAGCGGAGCTTATCATATGAGTGATTGTCCGTCGTCGTCCGTGTCAATGTTTTACTTTTTCAACTTCTTCTTGAAAACTACAAGCCTGAATGCTTTGATACTTGGTGTATATGTACCTTG